CTATAACCTTGGTCTTTGTGAGTATGAGCTACTCGAGATCATTTGAGTGTCATTTCTAGACGTTTTTGACCTTATAAAGACATAAAAATGAGAGCTTGGCCACTCTCATTCATCCATGCATGAGTTCTTGAGCAAAAGGTGGTATTATGGACTTAGGGCTTGGTCTTGTGCTCTATTTGGCCACGCAAAGGGATAAAGCCAAAAACTTTACCCATTAAGACATGCGTTAGATTTAGATCTGAGAGTTGGGAGATTGGCCTTTTATATTAAGAGCTTAATATGGAACTTTGGACATCATCAGAGCTACGTTGAGTCTAGCTTCCTACGCTTAGTGTGGCATGATTTTCACCATTTTCCATATGAGGATATATGCCGAGCATAGAGTAGTTATTTATGTTGAGTATAGAACAAGGCAATTGACTTTTTGACCGGTTTGACTTTTGATTAATTGGGTTGGGTTTTAGTCTTGGAATGACAAAATTGTATTTTGTCCCATGAGGGTTAGTTATGAACCAATACCCTTTGAGGGTTAGCTATTACCTTAATTTTTAATTAGGGTTTCATTGTGGATATTTTTTGTGTGAGGAGTTCCAGTATCAGCAGCTCGAGTGTGTGATTATATTGTTTGTAGATTAAGGTGATTCTTTTCACTATACTATGTAGGTTGCTAGCTTATCTTTATGACTCTTGCATGAAAGAATGTGGTTGGATCACAACACTTGTATGGAAGAATATGGTTGGATCACAACACTTGTGTGAAAGACTATGGTTGGATGACAACACTTGTTTCTATTTGTGACTTGCACGGAAGACCATAGTTGGATCATAGCAGAAAGGTTATGATTGGGCTGTAATCTGGGAGTTATTGTAAGACAATGGTTAGATCATAGCATTCACACAGGGTTAAAATATACCCCTAAGGTTGGCCCATTGATATTTATGTTATGTATATAGTTTAGAGAACTAACTAAGCTTTATGCTTACAGTTTTATGGTTTAAATATATTTAGGTACTTCCAATTCCAATAGGAAGGACCCGACTTGACCACACAACATCCCCTGATGATTTTTCCATGTTGATTGTTATCATTCTACTCTGATGTTTGAGATACATTTTACTATGATTGATTTTGGAACAAATGTTTGAATAGACTGATGATTTGAAAATGAAAATTTTTATTGGTATTTTTGGTTTGTTACACATTCGACAATCCTTTTGTATGGTATTCAACATTTTTTCAATCTTTTGTAATAAACGAGATTCCTACAAAAGTAGGATTATTATTTCAGCTTTTGGATTTCAATCGTGCCTCAAATACAGAAGCTTTATAATGCATTTAAAGATTCTTTATCTACCAATGGACCCATATCACATGATGTTGTTGATATACATCTTTCTTGTATGTATGTATGTATATATGTATTTATGTATGTATGTATGTATATTAATATATATATGTATGTATGTATGTATGTATGTATGTATGTATGTATGTATGTATGTATGTATGTGTGTATATATGTGTATATGTGTGTATGTATGTATGTATGTATGTATGTATGTATGTATGTATATATGTATATATATATATCTATGTTTGTATGTAGGCAGGTATGTATGTATGTATGTATGTATGTATTTATTGTATGTGTGTATGTTTTATATCTTTTGACTTTATTAATTTTTTCCAAATAAAACAAAGCCTTCACATGTAGGGTTAGAACAGGAAGCATAATTAGTATGTAGTTGGACATGTCCTATAAATGAACACATTGGAACCAATCAATCTTTGCCACCAATTAAATATATTCATATTCACGAGTGTGACAAATTTTGTGTAAGTTTTAAAACTCAAAAATATTATAAAAAGTTGACATTTTTTTTTCTAAATTCTCAACATATTCCTTACATAGTTAGATAAGGATATTTTGTATGTCACCTTCTTCCATCATTCCCCTACATAATCATCCTAGAATAATCGTTTTTAGTAAGCTACTTTACGTATCAATGCATGCAAAAGCATATGGTTGACTCGATGAACTCTTACAATTTGATACATCCTCCCAAGGTTCTTTTTTGTTAGTTTATGTAACTATGAGGACTAGTTTTATAATTTTGTCATTCTAATAGACTTATTTGTTAATCAGGGCAACCTGCAAAGCTTGTCAAAGATGGTATGATGACGGGTCCCATAAGGACACCGATTTTATTTCCAACAAGTGATGGCAACATCCATTGTTTTCATGTCATGACTCCATGTGTTATCTTTGACATCCTATCATTGTCTCACTCCTCCGATGCCAGGCGACACTATATGTATTTCCGACGATCAACCATAATATATGTTCATATACATGAGTTGATTTCAAGTTTGACTAATGTCAAAAAGTCAAACTTTGATTCATTTTGATTTTGTACTCTTGTACAGATGAAGAAGTAAATGGAGAAATATGTTTACAAGTTGCATGGTTAGAAGAATTTCAACCTCCTGATGATTTTGTGATACAAAGGGGTCGGTATAAAGGTTGTGTTATTAAGACGTAAAATGGTTTTATTGGAATGAATTGAAACATTTATAATTTAGTAGCATCCGAGGTGAAAATTATGTATGTTACTTTTATGAGATGTTCAAGGACACTAATGTAATTATATTAGTTATTATGCAGACTTTGCATAAATATACACATGATTGATATAATGTCCAATTAATGGTCTTAATGCCTGAAGTTGTTTTTTCATAGGTTTGTATAGAGGTGACACTTTAAATCTTGCATGCTTGTTATTTAGGTTGTGTTTGGCTGACTAGCTAGAAGGCTAACTTCTGTATGATAAGCTAAATCATAAAGTAATAACATTCTGTAAAAACTATACGAGAAGCTAGGTGACAAATGTAAAATGACATAAAAAGACTTGAATAGGAAATGGACATAAAAACACCCTTAATATGTACTTTTTAGTCTTTGGGTAGAGCAAAAATAAAAGTTTTCATTTACTTAAATAAGGAGTTTCCATAAGGGTTGTGATATAAGTATCCCCTTAACTGATTTTACACTCCCTAACATCAATCTAATCAACCTTGTACATTTGATTTGACATCATTTTTTTTTTCTTTTTTTTTCTTTTTTTTTTTGTTTTTGTTTTTTTGTTTGTTTTTTTTTTTACTTTTAATAATAATAATAATAATAATAATAATAATAATACTATTATTATTATTATTATTATTATTATAAATTTCGATAACCATATAAAATTCGAACAACATTTTAAAATTCGGACAACATTATAAATTCGGACGACATTATAAAATTTCAACGACTATATAAAATGGAACAAAGGTAAAGTTTGTTTCCAATCCGCATAACGCACCACGCAAATGTAATAACGAACCAATTTATGTCGTCCAAATTTATAATGTCGTACGAATTTAAAAATTTCATCTGAATTTATAATGTCATCGGATTTTAAAAACCGATTTATAAAATATAAATTAAAAAAGAATTAAAAACCGATTTTATATAGTCGTTCGAATTTATAATGTCATCCGATATATAAAATGTTGTTCGAAATTTATAATAATAATAATAATAGTAATATATAATAAAAAATAATTTAAAACCGATTTTATATAGCCGTTCGAATTTTATAACGTCGTACGAATTATAAAATTTTGTTCGAAATTTATAATAATAATAATAATAATTAAAAACAACAAAAAAACAAAATAGGAAAAAAAACAAAACAAAAAACAACAAAAGACAAAAAGTCAAATCAAGGGGGTGTAATTGAAAAAGGGAAAGGTACTTATAGAAAACCCCTTCCATAAGTCAATACCTTGTAACTTATCTAAAACAACTTATAACTTATTTAAATCAAATTACCATACTAACCTTATCATAACCCTACATTTTTATATACATATATCTAAGATTGTAGGCGAATAAATATAATTTGTCAAATATTAAAAACAATTTATCAGTTTGTTATGTTTTTGTACTGGATAAATTAATTCATATCTTTTTTTAAACAACCTTTTCATATCAAATAAAATAATAAACACTTCTTCAATTAAACATAAATTATTTTAAATAAATAATTCCAAACACCCCTTAGTAAATAAGAAATTTAAGGAAATTAGATTCTCTTTGTAATGTTTTTTAAACGTAAGGGGTTTTTTTTTTATCAAACGTGATTGTGAGGTTAAAGAATAATTTTTAGTGAGCTCTAAGCACAATTGTACAATTTTGACTTTTGAGCATATGCCATGAAAATAAGATGATCACATATTTATTCTTCTTCACAATATATTTATATTTCCTTTATCTGTTATTTCTCTTTTCCATTTTTACTTTTTGTATTAAGAGCTTGTAGCATATATCTCCCATACTTCTATAGTTTTTTTTTTTTTTTTTTTTTTTTTTTTTTTTTTTTTTTTTTAAATCTTTTTTACTTTTTGTATTAAGAGCTTCTATACTTCTATAATTTTGGGTTGAATTTTTTTTTTTATAATCTGGATTTCATGATACCTAGACATATAGTTGAAGTAGCATATTTAAAGAGGTGATCATGCAATCTTTCAAACAAATCCAACATATTTCTCAATCCAAAACCCTAACATGTGTGAGTTTTCATTCAAGAAATCTAATATCTGAAATTGAGAAAAAACAATAATGATCGTTTTACTCTTTCTTAATTCTTTGTAAACGAAACCAAAACAACAATTATTAGATGAAGTATTTCAAGGTACTCACACTAGTGCATTTGCTTCATTTTGATTACATGAATAATGACATCATAATACGATTAATGTCACATGATTTTATTAAAGCTCTTATTTTATTCATTTATTTTGAAAGAGGTGATTTTTTTTCGAAAAAGATTAAAACGGTGAGCAGCGTAAATGAGGGAGGCGAGATCTGTTACAATTAAAGCAAACACAGGTGAAACCGCAGGGGTGGTATTAATCTCTCTCTCTCTCTCTCTCTCTCTCTCTCTCTCTCTCTCTGCCATGGATGCCATAATCAAGCACATGATCCGAAACAGGTGAACATAAAAAAGGAGAAGTCAAACAGCAAACTACACATCACACCTCCACTTCAGTAAAAAAAAAAACTACGAAGCGTATCCATGCTCATAATAACATTGTTTATTTTCAGCCTTGAGAAGTTGCTTCAAATTCGGTCAGATTCTTCTGACAGATTGTGATTATTAAGCATAATAATCAATTACAAGAAGCAACACCCGACATGTTCTCTGTTTTACGCTCTTTTCTCCATGATCAACCGTTTGCTCAACCATATTCATCGATTCTTGGCTCAAGATCTTAGCGAATTTAAGGTATGTTCTCGATTACATCTGTTTTATTTTATATCAAGCAGCACTTCTGCGGTTTTGATTGGTTAGTCTCGGGAACTAAGTCGTATTTCTGTTTTATTTCGAGAAAATTGGGGAACAAATATTTAAAATGGATTCAAGATGCTCTGTCATTTGTGAAAAAGTGTTCTGTGTTGATTTTTGAAGTTAGTTAAAGGCCAAGTGATTCTCCATAGCATCTTGATAGGAAAGAATTTGTGTTTTGGAACAGATGACAAGTTTTGTGTGTTTGGTTAACGACTTTTTGTTTTGAATGCAATTGCTTGAATAGATGATTAAACACATAGATATGGCGATCACAATTCACAGAGACGTAGGGTTTAACCGCTCAAACCCTAACATAGTAAAGTGGACCATAAATACAATTCACTCAAATTTTTGAAAGTTGTTTACTGCATTATGTTTTCTTTCATGATTTCATAGATTTTAGTATCGATTTTAAGATTTTCTAGTTGGAATTGACGTGAAGTTTGTTCTTATGATGGTTAGGCAGACATTACAAATCTGTTTGTACGTGCAATAAATTCCATCAAACTGCTTCCTGTTGTAATGGAGGACAAACGATTGAACATCAATCAGCCACTTCTATCAGTGAGACGCCTTTCACCAAAAGCAGCTTCACAGAAGAATGAGAGTAGAAAATTCGGAAGTTACCTTCCAACTATGCCCCCCATTGAACCTTTTAAAACCGAATTCAAGTTAGATCCATTGAAGAACACAGGAAGCATACCTTTTGTATGGGAACACAGTCCAGGAAGACCCAAAGATGACGAATCACATAAACAGATTCAACCCAAGGACTACCCTCTCGGTCTTCCAAAACTTCCTCCAGGTAGGATTTCAAAACCTAGAAAGAAAGATTCCGATAACATAACCCAAGATCATGTTCATCTTCATCTTCATACCAATGTTCCCAAAGATCGTTCGAGTTTACAGAGTGTTTTCCAAACAGAGGAAAAGAAATCCAGATTCGAAAGATCAAAATCAATGAAGAAAGAAATTAGGTCTGATTCCAGTGAAGGCGATGACAACAACAATGAAACATTCATGGATGCACTTGATACACTTTCACGAGGTGATCAATCATCTTTCTATAACTGTAGCACAAGTGGTGTAAATGTAAATGTAAATTCAACACATGATCAATCAGATGTGATGAACACCTCTGGGATTCTTCGATCAGATCCAAAACTTCGTGATTTCATGATGGGTCGTTTTATTCCAGCTGCAAAAGCAATGGCTTCAGAAACACAAACACCTCATCATCATCTCTATTCTTCCAGAAAACAAATCTTTAGAGACAACCACCCACGTGAAGTAAAGAAGTTAGCAAATATGGAGAACAAAAAGTTACAGCTTAGATATGGACCTATGTTTTTGCAGGATACCAAAGAGGAAGAAGAAGAAGAAGAAGAAGACGATAGTTACCATGAATACTATGAACATGAGTATGAACATGAAAACACATCATTCAAATTTTGTGGATTGCTTCCACGTTTTTGCTCAAGGGGTTCTCTTAATCTTGTTGGGCCAGTTCCTGGAATTGGGATGAAGCCCATGAGGATAAGTAGAACTCATGCAAGCTCTAATTCTCTTGGTTCCTTCATAGAAATAGAGAAAAGATCGTTGACCAGATCCCATTTGGTCAAACACCAAGATTCCATTGGCACTTCAAACAACCAGAAGAATCACAATCACAATCACAATTACAATTACAATCACCCGAAGCTAGAAGGATCGAAACTGTACAACCGTCTTCAAGGATGTGGTTTTAGTGAATCTTCTGTTTCTGAAAACGAGTCAAGTAGTAGTTCTTCACAGAAGAAAAGGTTGAGCTTTAAGGAATTACTAAATGATAAAAACAATTTGAAGAATGAAAGAGTAAGAGACAATCAAGATTCCATTATTGAGAAGACTCTTTATGTGGATACTGAGAATTCAATTCCATCCAATGTGAAACAAGAGAATACAGATACAGAAACTCAAGGTCATGTGGAAACACAAACACAAACACAAGTTGTTGATCAAAGTCCAAAAGATTCTGAAGATTCTGCTTATGACACTCCTACACCTCCACCATTGCCAAAATCGCCCTCGGATTCCTGGCTTGGGCGTACATTGCCTTCTGTGTCATCTAATAATAAACAGACCACCATACGTTGGAATCCCAGATTCCGGCCTTCCGACATGTTAGCTGCTGAGTCGGAATCGGATAAAACCACACCATTACGGATTCCCAAGGTAATTTGATTTCCATTTAATTCTCTACTAATTGAGTTATATATAAAGTAATTAAAGTGTTACATGTTTTGTGTCAATTTCTCAGGGACCATTGCTTCCTATACCAGAAAGTTAAAGGTAGCCAGGTGGTTTTCAAGTTGTTACTTCTGTGCATATGTTTTGGGTGGTGAGTTCATCATATCAAAATATCAAAAGACTTGTTTTTTTTTTTTTGGTTTGTTGGGGGTAAACTTGGTAATGACTGGTTGAATGTGGATAGTTTTGTTTTTGGTGGATATAGGTGAAAAAGAAAAAGAATAAAGAAATGTTGGTTGTAGAGTCTTTTTCAAAAGATATTGACGTATAGAGTTCTTTAATGGATCACATGACATATATGATTTGCATCGCAATTGGATGTTGGCCACGTTTCACTAAAAGATATTTTTGTTTGTGAAATTGTGATGAAGCTTGATATGAATCATGAATGGTTTATCTCGTGTAATTGTATAAAAAACATGTTAGATTTTTTGAAAAAAAATAGTACTTGTTTTTGGAAATAATAAATATGTTTCTAAGTGTAAAGGGGAAAAAAAAGCTCCTATAAATGTGTGTGCGCGTGTGAGAGAGATGACTTAGACCGACAAAATGTATGATTGTGAAAAATAGTAAAATTTACAAATTGAATGTAGACAAGAGTGACAATGAAGTTGCTTCTGTTTTATAAATGTATGATTGAAACAAATGGGATGCCTACAAATAGCTCAAAGGTAATATTAATAAATGATGCGACTCATGTGAGACAAAATGGCCACAAACTCAAACTACTTAATATTTTGACATCTTCTGCAAGAAATTAAACACAATGCCCCACCCATATCATCACACCCTCAAGAGGTGCATGAATACAACTCATTAATCGTATGCCATATATATGCAATGCCACGAACCAAAAACACTAGTCTAGCCCATTACTCTTCCAATAAACTAAAATAATGATTGAAAATTATTAGTATGTACAAATTATACTCGCAACCGATCCATCTTGACAAGGACGTCAAGTAAAGATTTGACGGAAAAAAATCTGAAAAAGTGACCAGAAAAAAATCATGTTGATCGTCACGCCACCACCACCCACCCGGTGGCCACTGTTAGGATGGGGCGGCACTATTGCGGGCTAGACATGAATAGAAAGACCAGGGTTAGTTTTGAAAAAAGACCGTTCTAAAAAAAATACCGAAATCGAAAGTTTATATACATATAAATTCAGTGATAATTACATATTTTTAATCACACATTATTCAACTTCTTTCTTTCTTTTATTAAATTTTAATGTATCATTTTTATTAAATTTTAATGTATCGTTTTCATGTTAATCATACATTTGTTAACGAAAAAACTCGAAACCGAAACAAAAAATACCAAAAATACCAAAAAAGCAGAAAAAATCGTTATGAGACCGATCCAAAAACAGAACAAACCGTTTGGGACCAATCCAAAAAAGATCAAACCGCAAATGATTGGTCCGAATAAAATCAGGCCAAAAAAAGACCCACTTGAGATCGTTTGAGACCAATCCAAATACAGAACAAATCGTTATGAGACCAGTCCTAAAAATGCTAGACCATTTCGAGATCAGTCTCGGACAACCCAATACCAATATGCATCTTATCTTGGGCCATGAAAATGGAGGGGTGGTGCCCTGTTTGGGTTTTGGGTTTGGTTAACACTCCCTTATTTGATGGGTCTTGCTTTGTTGGGTTGTTGCTTGGTGTGGTCTGGATGGTCTTGTTTGGCCTACTAGCAACATTCCGTCGATAAGCTATCAAGGTTGTTGGGGCGAGACACTTGAGGCTTGGCTTGCTTAACCCAATTCATTGTTTGGTTCGATAGCCACTAGGGTTTCCGTCTCATTCTTTTTCATTTTCTTTGTATTTTACAATAACAAAAAAATAATGGAAATAAAACCCTAACTATTACAGGACTAAAAAAATGGTCAGACTAAATTACATCACAATAACATAATTAATTCAATCAACCAAAACAACACATTCATATGGACAATAACAAAACATCATAACGTACCAATTTTAATGATTAACTCATTTATGTGATTAATAGCATAATAATAACTTACAAGTAAGTAAAATTATAAAAACATTAAAGGTTAAGAAAATCCAAATTTTCAGTTTAAATATTTGGATTATTACCATGACGTGAACAATTGAAATAATTTAAACAATGTAATCATATAGTCTAAAACTTGGCTTTAATAGGATTGGCTGATTAAAAAAACCCATGCACAATAGAACAAATAACAACTTTAAATTTTAAATCCCCAAAAACCTGTATTCAGTTGGAATTTAATATGACCTGAAACATTTCTTGCCTATACATGTGTTGCTTTAGTTGATACTCAACCCTAAACACAAATGGATGCTTTATCCAAGTCATAGGATACTCGATCCTTGACATAATTAGAAACTCAATCCAAATCATATGCAGATACTCAATCATAGACATAAATGGGTGCTTTATCTAAGTCATAAGTGGATACGTAATCCTCGACATATTTTGATACTCAATCTAAGTTAACTAAATATTGAATCTTATACATAAATTAATACTCAACCCAAATCATAAATAGATACTCAATCATATTCATAAATGGATACTTAATACTATACATAAATGGATACTTACTCAAATTTATAACTCGTCTTAGGTGGTGCACTTGACCGTTATAATAAGGTCTCAATGTAAATAGTTCACTCTTTTTCTAAAACTCATTACAAATATCACATCATTGATGTACACTTATACTTTAACATTCACAAAGCAAAAGGACATTACAGTTAAAATAAAGGAAACATTGGATAAGTAAGATATACAAGTAACATATTTCATAAGTAATAAACTCACCACAAATGTAACACCGTAAATTTTCAAATAAATTTTTCATTTTAAAATCACATGATTCTTATAACACATTTCATAAAAATCTCATTGGTTTAATTTACAAAACACAACTCCATAATTGTTTGATTAATAATCCAGGATCCTCAAAACATAACTCTTTCTCTGGTGTGTACAATCAAGCCGGTGCCTTCCCGCGATCCTGAGAAAACCTGAAACACATATCACATAACACGGTAAGCACGAAGCTTGGTGAGTTCCCCAAAATACCACACATATCCCAATAGCCTCTCATGGTTATACTCAGGTAAGACCCTTCGGTCAATGTGTCTCAGTGGGACCCTCCGGTCCCAAACTCGGGTGGACCCTCCGGTCCTAACTCAATAAGCTCATAATAATGCAGAATATCATAATACACAGATAAGCACATAAGACATCTCAATCACACAAGGATAGCACTCATGGTACATATAGTGAGAAGACTCACCTTGAAGCAAGCAAGCAAATACACCTCGTACACGAATCACCGATCTAGCCTCCGCCTAACACATATGATAATTATCTCATATTAAAATCACAACTCTAAATAAACTCATACTAGCCCTTCTCTAACTATTGGGAAGGGTAAAACACCATTCTACCCCTACATGGTTTCCATTACTTACATTTGGTCAAAACCCCTAAAATTCAACAGAAGTCAAACTCGAGTCAACAATCCATGTTGACCCAACTCGTCGAGTGTATCAAAGCAACTCGTCGAGTCCCCCTCGATTCCTCAGAAGCCTCATGAAAACCAACTCAACTCGTCGCGTTGACCCGTCAACTCGCCGAGTTACAGCATGCTCAGACTCATCGGGATAAACCCTAACCGACTCGTCGAGTCAGCTCATGGACTCGGCGAGTCCCTTAAATCTGATCTCTCATTCAGACGTTTCAAAACAGATCTACCACTCCAAACACTACATCTAGCAACCCAAGACTCGATTGTCACGTAAAGCTTCGATCTTTACGTTCATGCATGGCATATTTGCTCCATATTACCAACTACATGCTCTCACAAGGTGTTAATCACAAAAACTCTCTTTTGGTTAAATAAAGTTGGGACCTTTGGACTCAAGGGACCTCACAAGGTCCATATTTGAAGTCTAGACCCCTTAATAGACTCCATGCACTCATTGTCCCAACCAAAGGTGGTAAAAGCCCTAACTTCCATACTCAAGAGATCTAACTAAATAAATGAGAAAGGAGCAAGCTTTTACCTTCAACAGAAGTTCTAAGTGAAGGAATTGCCGGATCCCACATTATCTCCTTGTCCCCTGCTTGTATCACCCTTCTTTCCTTCCAAAAGATTCACCAAAATGCTCAAAAGTTATCTCAAACACTCTCTCTTAGCTTAATGGCCGATTAGGGTTTATCTCAGTGAAGGTAAGCAGCTGATGAACCGCAAATGAGGCTATAAGTGCCCTTAAATAGGCCCCAAACCCGGGGATTTAGGGTTTCACTTCACAGCGTCTACTCGACGAGTCGACTCTCTGACTCGTCGAGTAGATCATTAATCCCACGTGGCACAATGCGACTCTACTCGACGAGTTGAGGCACCAACTCGCCGAGTTACTCAATAAACCCCAAAAAAATAAATATATAGATAATATACCTGGGAGTCCGGATGTTACATCAAAGATCTTCCTTACATGATTGGCTAACACCTTAGAATGTCACTTGTTAACTTATAAGACATCATAATCAAACATAAGACCTATAAAACCTTTACATGAGACATTCTAAGTTGTTATTATAAACAGAGTTTGTATAACTATAAATTATTAATTATATAGTTATACGAGAAAATTATAGTTGTACGTCCACTGGTACACTTATTACATACAACCATACCAATTAAACAGAAGACTCCAAAAGCATGTACAACTGTACAAAGTAAACAATAAAGCTTTTAACAAATCATGCAATAATACAAAATTGTGCATAATTGTAAACTCATACTTCTCTTTTACACATAGTGAACATATAAAGGTGTGAAATGACACACATAACAGTAGAAAATGAGGTATGTAAAATTCTCCTGAAAATCAAAGGTTTATTTGCCTAATTTCAATCATCAAACGCCCTTTCAATGACTTGTTATTGGTTCACCCTTGTTACCAAGTATTGTTACTTTTAAAAGCCGAAACCACAACCCATTATATATTTTTTATTTCATAATTTCTTGATGTTGACTTTCAAAGTTAGTTCTTACCATTCACTTCGTTGGGCTTTCAATACTATTTCAATGGACCATTGTTCATAGGTATGCCGAATTTGGTACAAAAAAGTGCATTTCAAGT